CACAACTTCTCACATGCGGACTTACTGAAGTGTACGCTTATAGGACTTGAAGCACATTCTGTACTTTCATAACTCAGTCTTACTCGAACTATTTTCTTAAACCTATGACAGGAAACGTACTTGTCGTCACAGCGATTAATTTCGATCCAAAACTCAACACGATTACCAACATGTTAATCCAGAACCTTGCTTTCACCGACATCTGCATGGCGTCCCTTCACATGCCCTTCTGGGTCATCAGTCTACGCTATGGACGCTGGGTATTTAATCACGTGTTATGTCAGCTGGTTGGCTTGACGCAGCTAACGTTTGGGATTACATCGCTTTTCACTATGACCGGGATTGCCTTTAATCGGTACTTCAACGTTGTGCGGCGCAATCTGTATACGAAGTACTTCTCAACCAAGAAGGTCACATACTTCGTGATTGCTGCTGCCTGGCTCGGTGCTTTAGCTGTCACCTCCCCGCAGCTCTACGGCTGGGGAAAGATCGCCTACCACCCACTTTTCGCGGTGTGCACGTGCATTTGGGACCTACCCGATGTCTCTTTCATGGTATTTCTTTGTGCTGGGACAATTTTCACCACCGCGAGCGTCATTTCGTGGTGTTATTACACCATCTACAAAACCGTCAAAGCCAGCGCAAAGAGGATGCAGGGGCATGCAGCCGAATGGAGTCACGGAAGAAGCAACGCCGTGGGTGGCAAAAGAGAGAAGACAGAAAGAAAGGTTCTCAAGACTTCGTTTGTGGTGGTCTGTGTTTTCTTAACATGCTGGACCCCACTCTCGGTGGTAGGCTTCATTGAGATTTTTGGATTCTCCAGTCCACGGTGGGCACATTTATTTTCCTACTTCTTCGTCTTTGGTAGCAGCCTTACAAACCCTTTTATATACGGAATAATGAACCCGCAGTTCCAGCAAGCCTTCAAGAAATTGCTTCGGTTTAGGGCTAACGAAATCGAGCCGATGTCTAGTACTAGTCAAGTCAAAGAAAACGTAACTGGAACAGCAACTACGGATGTAACCGGCTTGCAAACGATTGGAGATGTACCAAGCACCTCCATTCAGCCGGGTGTGATTGATCAGAACCAAAATCAAGTAAAACATACTGACGCACCTACGAAGCCCCGAGAGATCATGAAGGCGCAAGCGTGGAAGTAACAGGTACAAAAATAGAGAGCTTTAGATTCTGAGACGATGACCACTACGAGTACAAGATTTTCTCAGTACTAAATACTGCTCACGCGTGAACCAGCGTCACTTTGGCAGGAAAACGGGAGAGGGCTTAACCTCCTTACCATACTAACTAACTAAACATGCTAACTTTTTAGGTGAAAAATAGTAAAATGAAGCTTTCCGGGGTGTCTTTTTTTTTTTTGAGAACAGGCGCAAAAACTTCAAGTAAAATCTCGTACTCGTACTCGTCCTCAAATCTAAAAGTTCTCTAATACCATTGTATGTTCCAGGAGACAACGGGTGCTCACCATTTACACAAACTGTGCACCCTGGTGGAAACATTGTGTATAAACATGCGGGAATTAATTGAGGCTGGTTAAATTTACGAGCTAACACTTGCACTCATGCACAAGGCACTGAAACACTACTGTTATGACCTAGACCATGTAGAGTAATTTTACTTAACTCGTGAAAGGAGGCAGCGTGGCCGAGTGGTCAGCGCATCGGACTCGCAATCCGGCGGTCTCGGGTTCGAGTCCCGCTCTGGCGACTTGCTGGATTTGTTCTCGGTCGTCCCGAGTTCAAATTCTCGGCCACGCTTGTAAATCATGGCCAACTGGTTACCTCCTGCCAGTTGGGGTTTTTACTTCTGTGTTATGTTGTATTTGAATGATTTGTTTCTAAGCATTTGAGTGGAGCGCCTGTAGACTAGCTGAATAAGCTAAGTGCACCTTCCACTATAAACAAGCCTTTAAACCTTTTAAACCTTTAAATAGGTAGTAGAATCCCACGCACTATTATGCACTTATTCCATTGCCTTCTTTCGTTTACCTCTCGCTATTTTGCACTATTTGTTAGTATTTGGTAGTATTTGTAAATATAGGTTAGTATGAAATGTCATGATATGACCCGTACGGCTCCGCGCGCAATTTTGTTGGAAAACCATATGAAAAAAAAGTATCGTCTGAGGGCAGTACGCGTCAAGTGTTTGGCCCGGAAAAACGAGTAGGGCCCTGCTAGAAAAGCGTACTGATCGATGCGGGCTCGCTTCGTCAAAGAAAATAAAAAGAAAAACGGTCATATGATAAAATGCTTATTTACTGAGACTCCCACTAGTAGTCAGTCAATAAGTTCATAGCCTTTCCATGTACCCCTTGAATTTAAATTTTGGTAAACCATGGAGTGTACGCAGTTAAATAAAACAGGGTGTAGAAAATGTTGAATGAACATATAAGAAATATTTCGTAAGGATATTTGGAAAGAACTGCATTTCCGACCTTTTAAAATCGGGATCCAACGACCTACCAAATCTCCCAATAACTACAGTTCAGAGGAAGTTAAGCACTAAGCGCCCAAAATAATGCTCATTTTGATTCAATAATCAAATAGGCCCGAGAAGGAGTTAATACAGAGAGAATACATGAAGACCATGACAATACACACATAGATTAGAGAGATTGTATAACTTCTTTTATGCTTGCAATAAATTGAGAAAAATTACCTTGTGAGAGGTGCAGTTATTGGATAGCCCATCTGTATTGCAAACGCCGATAGTTTTGTCCAGCAAATGAATCCCTGAAGTCAATTCTTGGAAGAGAATTCTCTCAGTCTTTCAACATCCAACGTAAGATTTTTTCGATCCTGTTTGTCCAAAAATTGTTGCAGGATGGCATGATGGTAAGCATCCAGTAGCAGCCTATGGGCTTATGACTATCCTTTGAATAAGAATAATGGTGTAAGACAAGTTCAGAGCCAACGGGTACTTCATTTAAATTAGAATATCCCAGAAACAAGTTCGCTGACGAGGGAGGGCTTAAAAGGGGCTTTAAATGGTGTTTTGGCAAAACCTTCAAATGACTACTTCATTCGAGCAAAGCACTGAATAATTTCGAAAGATTCACTTTATTGTTAGTGTAAAATGAGGAACAATTTAAGTTTCTGAGAAACTGACTGCCCACCCCTCCCCTAAGCCAACATTTTTAAGTGAGAAGTGTTAATGTAAGCTTAAGGGAGGGGTAGGTGGGCACTTTCCCAAGAAAGCTAAATTGATCCCTACATGACATGAACCACCCAATTAATGATAAAGCAGTTAAGAATCGCGTTCATGAATACGAAATTCGGCATCCTTAAATTTAAAATCCGCATGTCAGCTGCCGTAATCCAAATCAGCAATTAAGAGTTATGCATTGTTGGCGTCGTCCTGTTTTTACGCTGCTGTTAGAAATCAGTGAGTACATTGTTAACCACAGGCCCAGTAACATGTTGACGACAGGTTTACTGGAAACTTGCATACGGCCGGGATTGTGAAAAAAAGAGAGCCAAATTTCAGCACACCTTGCATAATACAACAAACAGTACTACAATCGATGCTTGACAGGAATGGCTGTCTGATTGATTTTCGTAGAACAGCGTTGAGACTAGTTTCACTACAAAGTGTTACACATTAAAACTCATGATTTTATCTTTGCTGTGACCATAGAGTAGCAGCCATGAGAAAGCAAGTCTACTTTTGTTGAAACTGTCTCGGACCGAAACTTCTTGGTCAAAAAGCATACACCCAGCTTTGCTCCCTTAGCCTCCCTACTAGGATGAACTCTGTACAAAGTTTGACTCAAAGGAAATTTGCTAGGGTGCAAAAAAAAAAAAAAAAAAATGCTAGGGTGCAAACCGACTAAGCAAGTATCAATCGTCAGAAGTGGTTGCGTTGTGGGTCAAATCCATTCTGAGTTCAAACCAGTGGTTTATGGTCATCTCGCCACCAATGAAATTGCACCAAGAAGTCAGACTTCTTGGTGGCAATGTGGTGGTGAGTAGACTGTCTACTCGCCACCAATTAATAACTCTGCTATAACTGACACTGTTTACTTACTGGGGATGGTTACTTCTGCCTCAAACCAAAATATAAGTTTATCAATTTTAATTGACACCTTATGCCGAACTTCTGATCTTTAGTTTCATTTCTTGTGAATAATTGCGACTTTCGAATTTCTTAATACACCCGTACGGCTTATTTTCATTGCTCGAGAGGAGTGATTTCTTGTGAAAGCTGGTTAATATTGTCACTTGAACCTTACCTCCTTAACTTTCATTGTAAATTTAAAGTGAAAGAATTCTTTTTAGAGACTTGTCCTTTCGAAAAGTATTAAGATATGTATTTCTTAGTGGCGATTTCATTGGTGGCGAGATGGTTTGGTGGCGAGGTGACTGGATACTCCTAGTTTACCAAGGTTAGAACCCGAGCACTTTCAATACTAGTTTCAGTAACCTAGCCCTTAAACTATGGAACTGCAGAACCACACCCACCTATTGTAGGTACAATCTGCTCTCTTGGATCAAAATTTTTCTCGTCAAAGTCAGGTGATGAGTGACCAGAAAATGACCATGGGTTTAAAAAGAAAACAAACCTTCCACAATCCATGTTACAGAAGACCACGATCCACCAAATGTTCGAAATCTGCAAATCCATAAAAATAGTCTTAAAAACTAAACTCAAAGTAGAGAGAAAGGAAAAGGAAAAGGAAATTGCAATCTCGCATCATTCTAGGGAAATAAAAAGTACTTGTCTTTAACATCTTAAATTGGCGACAAAATTGTTGAGACAAATGGGGTAACTTCAGAGAGCAAAACAATCCACACTGGCCTCTCCCCTCCTTTCAAAGTCTGGGTGTTTTATGTTTTCTACAAGTAGCTTGAACAGTGGCACAACATGGCATGGGAGGGGTGGGGGAGGGAAAGCTTTATTTTCCCATTTTTGCCTTGGCAAAACGTTACTGAGGCCCTTAAGGGAAAAGTGTCTCAACTAATTTTGTTGCCAATGTAGTTTAATTATTGATACAATATTCATACCTTAAGCTTTTTTGATATAGCAATGTTCACCATCTAGGAGAGATCTGCTGGCTTCACATTTCTAGTCGTTACAGTAACTTTTGATACCAAGCTTTCTAGGTTGTAGAATGATCAGTCATCTTTCACCTTAGCAAGTGTTCTTGGCTTGGAGAGTCTTGTTTGTCAATCTCTTAAAAGCAACAACCCTCCCTCTCCCACCACCACCTGACCATACAGTCATTACAGTAATCTAATAACTCCTAACAGCTGCCAAGGTAGATTCATAAAGAAAATCCAAAGAAAATTATACCATGCAACAGGGCTCAAAGTTAGCGACTAACTGGTCGCATATGCGACTGGATTTTTGGTTCTGCGCCTAAAAATTCATGTCTAATCGCACCTGTGCACCGTAAAACCCAACGTACAGTGCGACTGACTTGCTTACGACTATACTTACGTACTCGAACTAGAAAGACGGTGTATGTTTAATTGGTCTTTTCTCCCAATGGATTCCACGAACTCGAATGTTCTTTTTCGTTTCGATTTTTTCCTCCATTCCAGACTCTTCTGTTTTGTAATAAACACCGCTGACACATGCAAATATATCCAGGTAAGAAAGTTTTTTAAGTCGTATTCCAGTTACATGTAAGTCATTGCGCATTTAACAAATTCATTAAGGATTAAGTTTCATTCTCGTTCGACACACTCATTGTTGTCAGTTTTGAATTGTTTTTCAAGTGTAAGTTTTCTTTAGTCACAACTTTACTGTCAAAAAGAGAAATTAGTATCAAAAATCACAACGGTATCACTGTGTAGCAAATCGGCCGTATTTTATCAATCACAGGAATGAAGTAAAAGTAACAAACTGAAGATGACAAATGAACGTGGCACTGTTAAGCTTTTTACTTTTTCTTTTGAAATAGATGCTCCCAACATTATAAGCTGTGCTCCTAAAATTTTCAGCTGTGCACCTAAAATTTCGGCAGTGCGCCTAAAAATTTACATCTGGTAGCACAAGTGCTCCCAAACTCAAATTTAAACTTTGAGCCCTGTGCAAAAAAATCAACCAAAGAGGTTTCACTTAACCTTTAACTGCCAAATGTGGCCAAAGGCAAATTTCGACCAAATTTCATTTTCTAAAATTTTGACAAACAAATAGCATCAACGATGTGAAAGTTCAGGCAGAGAGCTTTCATTTGAATGGTCACATCATAGGAATTCGTCCACAAACTCAAAAGTTAGAGTTACCTCACAAAAGTCTATCAAACACTCTGGCAGTGATAGGGTTAAAAGGAAAACATCATAGGATCTTGTCCACAGATTGCAAAGTCAGAATGACCAATCACCACCCAACACCTCATTCTTGGAGGGGACTGGTCAAAGAAAAAGGACATGCTTGATACACCTGTACATCGATAAAACAGATACACTGTAAAAGAAAATCACACTACTCCTGTGTTGATTCTTTTTCCACTTCATTCATTGAATTGACTAACAACATAAAATAAAATAAAATAATAATAAAAAAAACATACAGTGTAGGAACCTCCTGCTGGCCAATTATCTTCCTTAGATTAGCAGCATTGCACAATATGATTTTTTAAAAACAGTTGAAGCTTTCTATGCAAGCAGTATACAGGAGAATTACCAACAAACCAGTGTTCTAACATTGTTTGAACAATTGATTAAGTGAACCCTTAAACTGGAGTAATCACTTACAAAAATACATTGTAAAAAAGAAAATTTGGCAAACATGAGATTTCTCCACTACTAGAACATGTACCACTAATACTTCCCTAATTTTCAATCTGAATCATCAAATTTGATTTTCTGTCCTTTGAACTCAACCTTAACTGTTTCCTGCAATCTTTTTCTTTTCACAGCTTCCCATGATGGGTGTAAACTCTCATCATCACTCTTTCGTTTGACAGAATGCTGACCTTTGACTTTACTTGTCTGTTTCCTATCTTCCTTATACTCCTTTGGTTTAATTAAAATGTTATTTTTATGCAAATGTTTTGCCCTCTTTCCATGGATCTTCTCCCACATCTGCTGTCTTGCACGCTGTCCTCTACGATTTCTTTTTCCTTTTCTATCACCCAACCTTCCTTTTACGTTCCTCTGCTTTTTTCTACCCTTCAAGCCTTTATCTCCTTTAGCGCCAGACATGGTCCCCACAAAACATGACTCTAAGCCTTTGAACTTAAGCTCTGGAGATGGAAAACTGTCACTGCCTTCCTCATCTTCTTCAAAGTCACTTACATCAACGTCTGAGTTTGAAATAAAGCCATCACTGTCATTGTCAACATCTTCTCTTGCTAGTGGCTCAGCTGTAAAGCCCTTGTCTACAAAAAACCTCTGTTCAGGAAAATTTTGTTTTGTTTTCACTTTTCCATTAAAGCTTCTTTTACGACCAGAAGTCAGTTACAGTGTACTGCGCAAGCGCGACCAGTAAATTTCGTCGTCGTGGTGTCGTCGACGACGCCAAACAAAGTACAAT